TAAAATTTAACAATACTCCAAGCACCATAGCAACATTTTTTTAAGAAACGCTAGCCAAATCTGCTAGGATAACTGACTAGGTAATTTTCACAATTTTAGAGAAGGAATGACATTTTAAATTTTTTTTAAATAAGAAATAAAAGTAAGAAAGAGGGAAAAATAGCTAACAGGTTCTTGAAAGCCTATCAAAAGGCAAAATGAAAAGATAAGAAATCTGCTTTAAAAGAAAAAAGAAAGGATGTTACTTGCAGAAAATTAGTTCTACACATTATTTTGTGTGTGCTTAGTATGAAATTTAGAAAGAGCTCATGATATGTTTTTAGTAAGAAGATCTTAGTGTTTGCCATCTAAGCCACACTAAGTCCTAAAATACAGCAAAAGTTACATCAAGTGAAAGCACTGCCTTGAGAAAGAGCCATATTTCAGATCCCATTTGTCCTGACATCCACACACTCTAATGGAGAAACATTTTCTGCAACTTCCTCAAGATACATGGAATTGTCTTTCTCTCACTGCCTGAATGGCCACTGGAGCCCAGAAACACTGAGATACTGCACTGTTGAAAGCACACGGGGCTGGTTGGAAGAAAAATTTTACTTCTACTTAAGCAAGCTTTCTTATACCCCCTGAAAGTAGGTAAAGTCCATTTTTCAAGTAGGAGCTGGAGATCTGGCTGGGTACAGACTTAAAATTGCCAAAGTCTTTCTTCAGTGCTCCACTGGTGGGGAAGTGAGCCCTTGGACACAGCCCTGCAGACTCACCTGTGGGCAGGTGGCTCACAGCCAAGCCAAGGGTCTCTCGTTCCCCTCTGTGCTTCAGGGGACACTGCTGTACCCAGATGGCCCCAAGGAACACTGGCATGAGCAGCTGGAGATGCTGCTCCCCACTGCTCCCCTCCCAGGGAGGCCAGCACAGGGAACAGCTCCTTTGTGTCCCCCCAGGGTCACCTCAGGCCATAGGGCAGCTCGCAGTGGTGCCCCCTTGCCTGGGCAGGTCACGTCCTCTACAGGAGGAACATTTAACATCAAGACATTAAATGAAGACTTAAAAAGAGAAAACCTGCTTAAGGCTTGATCTGCTGTAATCAGCAGAAAGAATCCCAAGGACTTTGATGTGGACCAAATCAAGCCCCTGGAGGACATTCATAGTAAATCATTATTAATATAATGAGTGCAATTTCTGTGCAGCAGCTCATTCCTGTTTATGGATATATGAAAATTGCTAGCTTTTCACATAAAATAAAACGAGAGGGGAGACAGACCACAATGTTAGCCAATGAGGCATAGTAGCTCCTTTCGATATGTGTACGTTTAAAAAACTGGGCATTTAAAATGACAGCACGTTCCTCCAGTGAAGCTCTCTTAATTTAGTGGTTTGACATATCTCCAAATCTGAGCAGAAAAGAAAGCCTTTTATTCATAGCAGGCAATAAAACACCTGAACACCTGTGCTAGGAAGGACCTGGCAGGTACCCTGCTCCCTTGGTACGTGGATTATTTGCGCATTGTTTATTACATCCCTTGCCTTAGTTTTCATCAATTGTAATCATTTAGGAGGAAACAGTATGATTAACAGTACACAAGCAAACAGCAGGAATTAATCCTTTAAATACAAATACTTCACTGGTTATATGATGGCTCCTTGGAAAAGCAGTGTGGCAAAAGAGTACACACAAAAATCCTCCTCAAGTTTTCTCTGTAAACCACTGCTCAGTCACAATTTGCTTAATACAATTCTCAATGCAAACAGTTGAGAAGGGCTCTTTCTTTGCTGTGAATCACACCACAAATATAACTCTCAGCACCCATTATGTGTCATCATTTCCGAACCATCTTTGGGTCTGGCAGGGCTCCCTGCTACATATTAAATAGCAAAGATCAAAATTTTACCTGTCATAGAGCAAACTCATCTGCCATGTCCGAGTGCCCATGGTTCCGGCTGCCTCTGAGGAGCTGGACCAGCAGCTCCCAACACAGCTCCTGGAGATAGGGATCTGTCTGAAAGGGCTCCTTCTGCCCAACAAGTAAGGAAACCCCAGCCCTCCACCTCTACACTTGTTTCAGTGAGCATGTTTCAGTAGGGGGAATGAAATGCCATAGCCTTGGTGTTTTATATACGAGCTATAAATTCACTCTTTTTCCAGGAGAATTTCATGATATTCATAGCTGTCAACTGTACAAAGTGAGGATGTAAAAAACACATGTGAAAGTGCTGCCAGCCTTTCCTCTTCTGCCCTAAGGGTGTGTGGGGTTATCACACATACTCTTTCCTTTGTGTTTCATGCTTAACCTTCCCATGTTTTCTTTCCTTATTTCCAGTGAGATAATGTAAGCAGTTAAGTAGCATTCTGTTTTCTATTCTTGTGGCAATATCATCAAAGTAACGTCACTGACTCATTGCTCCAGATTCTTACCAAAATTTCCACCATTTATAGAGCAAGTTCAGTTCCTCTGAGTGTTCCTAAGCCTTGGTTTTACACTCCATCAGATGATGTAAACTTCAAAGCAAAAACCTATATTAAAATAAGAGCTCAGCAGCACAGTTTGATGGAAGTTTGATCACTTCCAGAGCATTAAGCTACCAAAGCAGTATCTGCACCAGCCACTAAAAGTACATTTACAGCATTTACAGTTTCTCATCACATGGCACACATGGTGTTTACCCTGTTTAAAAGAAGTGTTCAAAAATCAGCAAGGCTAGTTCATGCCAGTCTGTGACATCTCTAAAAGTTACCTTTTCCCTTTGCCGCCTGTCATTTTCTCCCACCTTCCTTGTTTTTTCCTGCTTTTCTACAAGCACCCCACTCTGATTTTCTTCTTGAAATAGTTGAATGTTCAATTTTTTAAAAAGTATTTTCAGTGGTTTCACTTTAAAATACAAAGAAGGAAAACAGTGTGTAGGTTCAGATCTTGATACCAGTTATTTCATGCCAGTAGGAAAGCAAGTTCAGAACTGAACAGTCAAATTCATCAAGCGGAACCCCTTGACGGAGGCTGATTTGCTCACATAAGATAATTGCACTGTTAAAGATACAGAAAGGTTTATGCAGATTTAACCCTAAGTAGCAGTTGAACAACTGGTTCACTAAAATAATACTAAATCTTCATTACTCAACAAAAATGTAACCAACGGTTCAGGAATTTAGAGCAGGCAGCTTACACACCAGAAACTAATGAGATAATCATGCCAAGGCAGACTGGTTCAAAAGTCTAAAGCATTTCTAACAGATTTATACAAACATTTTGTGTCCTCCTTGGCTTCAATATTTGCATTAGTAAATTCCCTGGCATAAAGTAAACACACATTTCTGAGTCACTACTGAAATAAAGACTAAGACTGTGCAGCTAAAGATTGAATTTTCATTCAGCCAACATCATTCAAAACTCCTCATGTAATTATTATGAATTATTATAAGCAGAAAAATTTTGAGTGCAGAAAAATCCTGCATAAAAACTGAAAATTTACAATCCTAATTTATATGATTAAAGCTGACATTTGCAGCAATTGTGCAATGCACAAAACTTCACTACTGAAACACTATGTAATTAAAATCTGTAATTGCTAAAAACAGGCTGCTTAGACTATAATTTAGGCAGGTTCTCTTTATTTGATCATCTGATTCTAAAGGTTAATGCACTGGCCTAGGCAGCCAGTGTTCCCATTTTAATTGTCCTGGCATTTTGACCAAACACCACTTTAAGGGAGATATGGGAGGAAAAATCAAAGCTGTCTTTGCAAGCCACTGCTGCCTTCATAAAACGTTCATAGTGAGAACAGACAAACCCAAAATCTGCTGACTTTATTAAAATATTAACAAGGTATAGTTAAAACTTTTGTACACTTATGCAAATCAGGTCGCTAGAACAAGGGAAAGGCGGGATCCCCTGGGAGAAAAAAAAATAAAATCAACAAAGTGAAAAGATCAGCCATCCTTCCACAGCATGACAGCACAACACAAGAGGCAGCAGCTTGGGAATTCAGCTAGATAAATAAAAACCCTCCAAAGTTTAAGTAAATCATGGTTTATAAAGCTAATACATTTAAATGAGGCATATGATACCATTCTATAAAAAGACCGCCTTTCCCAGGGCATGGGCAGGGTGTTTTTGGTGGCCATGCTGCACAGGTGAGAGAGGTGTGAGGAGGCCAGCCAGGGTGGGCACCTCCCCACGAGCTCCCTGGCAGGGCAGGCTCTGGTGCTGCACTGCCCAAGAGGCACCATGCTCACACACCATGGAGCCTCAGTGCCTGTGTGGGTTTAGACCAAGGGTATTGGTGGGATTTAACCCCCAGCCTCCCTGCCACGGCTCCAAGGAGGCCTCTGGTACCAGGGCTCCAAGTGTGGCTGCAGCAGCGTGCCCAGGTCAGGGTCCAGCCCCTCCAGAAGGATTTGTGGCCCCGGGAAAGGGTGTGAGGCAAGCACTGGCTCTGTAGAGGCTACAACTGCTGTGGCTGCAGCCCCCAGTGCTGCCAGGGAAAGTGATGTGTAAGGTCTGGTGTGCAGAGCCACAGCTTGGCAACGTGCTACTGCCTGGGAGGAGCCTCTGCTTGAGCATCACGTCGACCTGCACCCACGCTTTCTCATACCTCAGCAGGGAAAATTCCTTTACTTATGATTTAGCAGCGAGGAAGGGAATGGGGCAGCTACCATTTGCTTAGTCTTTGTATGTTAATCAGTCCCTAAATTATTAACGGAGAAAAAGAAATTATTTACAAGGTGTTTGACGTAGATATGTAAGGATGTAGCAACACTACTGTCAAGAGAAATACTCATAAATCATGATATGTGTCTTGTCTTATTTATTTATTTATTCCAGCCATGCTCAGAGACCCTCTTCTCCTCCAGGTACCCAGGGAGGCAGGAGGAGACTGAGAGACTGTTTAAGGGCAGAAGAGACAATAACAAGGTTAGGCACCTTTTCTAAATGCTGCGCAGGAGTGATGGTTGCAGAGAGAAATCGACAGCTTTAGTTTTGTTTTTACTCCTCTTGTAAACATACCTGAAGCTCTGTTTGAAAGAAGAACTTCTGTGGGCACTGGGAACAGTCATAAATTTTGTCTTCCTGCCCGTGCACTGCGAAGATGTGCTGCTGCAGTTTGTTTGCCTGTACAAAAACTGAAACAACAGAGTACAGTTAGTTAACATTGCTTCGTATAAGGCACCTCGTCTAAAACTGCACTTCAGAGTCTCTGCAATTGTAAAAGGTCCAAGGATATCTGCCAGAGAAGTGCTGATACACTTGGTTCAGCAGAATTTCCTCACAAGTAGTCAATTTAGAGTCTCCAGGCTGACAGTCAGCTTACTTCTAACAGACTTTACATCCTGTATGGATTTTTGATATTTCACATAAAGCTAACACTGTCCACAGGTAACTGGAAGAACTCATCAGACCAAAGAGAGGACGTCACTGCTCCCATGGGGAGCCCTGGGCCCACGGCAGGTGCATCAGATGCATTTTTAATGCAGGACAACTGGGCCAGGAGAAGCCTTGATGGCTGGTCTGGAAGAAACATGGCCTAGAGCAGCATTTCTGTCAGAAATGTGAATCTGAAAGGGCAGGCTTGCCACAATTTTTAGATCTTTTAAATAGGTTGCCCATTCAGTAGAAAAGAGAAAGATTTTTTTTTAACATCACAAATATCACAGCATCTGCATTGTGTTTCTGGACTGACAATTATTCTGACTTTACCAAGGCAAATTTTGAAGTGGAACATATTGAACCACAGCTTTAGCTGTTTGAAAAATATATCTATATCTGATTTAATTTTTGTCTCACTTTACATGAATGGTCATCTATATGTGAAAATGGCTTCTTCAGCAGAATTCAACAAATGCACCCCAAATTTTTTACAGCACATTTCAGAAAGGATTAAATTAACTCCAAGCTCACACAAATAACAATTTCTCAAATTGTGGGCCAAACTCTAAAGAACATAGGTTCACTTTATTCCCAGCAAAGTTAAAGGAATAGCAGGTGCTGCTGTGCCCCTTTAGTGACAACAGGCCCACAGTGACACCTACATGATCCTTATCTCTCAAACAGATTGGAAATGGAGATGTTAACTACTGTGTTGAAGAGAGTACAAAAGGCAGCCTTTAGCATGCACCCTGAAGATCCTGGAAAAGCAAGAATCACCCATGATCATTTGGACTGATGAGACAGCTTAAATGATCTACAGAGAAGGAACACCTAGCAGGCTCTCAGGAGTTAGAAATGTGCCACCATAAGAAAACTGGGCTTAAAAGAAAACTCTGAGAGTGCAGCTGGCAAAACCATGGAGTTGTACAATTTGGTCTTATCAAACCTTTACTCCCCTTTACTCAGTACTGTAAGCAGACCATGAGCCACCTGGCCTTTAAAGAGTCCTTGCTCAGGTGAATAAGGGCTTGCAAGAGCAGGTCCATTCTTTGCAAGTCCTGCACTTGGAAACACCTAGCACCTTTGAGCCACAAGGCATAATGTAAATGTTTGGAACTGTGGGGCCTTGCAGAGCCCGCAGCATGTGGCAGTGCTGCTTGGTGTCAAACGCCACAAAGCTGCTCGGCAGAGCGAGCCCCAGCTTCAGACAGAGGATATTTGAACATTTCCAAGCACAGTATTTCTTTTTCCCAGGGAAAGGAATACAGTACTTTACAAATCCCCTGAGTGTCATTTCTGGATCTATTCATGCACGCTGAGGCTTGTCTTGGCCTCCCTGTCTTACCTGTGAAACAAACAGGGCATTTGAATGTGCCTCCCATCCCCTCAAAGCTGTGCTCAATCAGGTGACACAGGAGCTTTGCCGGAGAGTCAAACATCTGGTTACACAGCTTGCACTCATGATTGATGCCTTCCTCTGCAAGGTTCAAATGATACAACTTGTTAGTGACACAGCAGATTAGCATCGGGGAGGCAGCACAGTGGGCGGGGAGGGCCTGTGCCGGCACACAGGGCCCCCAGACCCCCAGCCCCAGAGCAGGATGAGTGTCCAGGGGTGCAGCCCCACGCTCCATCCCCACGCGGGGCTGCCGGGCTCCACCAACGCAGCACAACCCTGCCACAGGGGGAGAGCAGCCCTGCTATGGGTACAGAGTGGTAAAGAGTCAAACAGCATTTAAAATTACTTTAATAGTGCGAATTCAACCACCAACACTGACAGAGGAATGAAGTGATGTCTTCACCTCGGAGTACACTGCAAACACACAGGAGAGGAAGGAGCTATTGGAGAATAGCAGGAGCTGAGAGCAGAGTATCAGTGTAAATTTTTTTTTGTGTCTCTTGGCTTTTTACAAGACAAAGAGAGACCACTGAAGGTATTTAAATGTAATTCAAAAGTGTAATTTCCTTGTCATGTATCTTGAGTATTGAATAGACAGGGTCCATTTTAAATGCCTCTATATTCTAACTGAACTCAGTGAAATAACAATAATTATTACTCTTGGTTCAAAAGCCTACCACTTTTGCAAGACGATAAGCTTCTCTGTATACTGAAGTTTGTGATTCTAGGTAAAGCTGAGCTTTTCTTTAGAGGTACTGAAGTCATATTAAAGCAATTTTCACACATAAAACTAAACAATCCTTTGTTTGGTTTTCTTGAAGGGAGGCAAGGAGTCACAGAATTTTAGAAAAAATAAAATAAAATACAGTTAATAAAAATCAGAAGCTACCTAAAAAGTTTTAATGCTGTGGCTAGTTTCTGCAAAAACTCCCTGAAAAAGTGTCTTTCCTTCACTGTGGCAGCACGTGAACTTCTCATGAAAACATATTTTAAAAACAAAATAAATACTTTCTTTTGTTCTACACTCAGCTTTATTTTTACATCCTCAAATATCAATGACTATTAATTTTTAGTTCCAAGATCGCTAAGAAACGACTACATTACTCCATGAACCAATTCTTGCCAAATATGTTTGGATCTTATGAATAATGTGAGCCCTCAGAAACACGGTCTTTACTTACAGAAAACTTCTTCTATCTTTAAAGGGGCTAAACAGAAGCAAAGTATTGCTTGCTATGAAGCCTTTGGTACAATCAGGATCCAAGGCTCCTGTACAAGTGTTGGGCAGTGGAGAGCTGCCCGCGCTGCCTCGAGGCCAGCTGGGCTCTGGACCTGTGGGGCACTGGGTGCTCACCGTGAGCGCTGCACCGGAGCTGCGTGGGGAATGGGGAGGTGGCGTGGGGACAAGTAAACAGGTGAGTTGGGAAGGAGATAAAAAGAGAAAAGGGAAGAACCAGGAACAGAAAGATGAAAGAGCTTGTAGCTCCGTGGCAGCAGCTCTACGAATTCCCTCCGGAGCCACAAGCAGGGAATGGGATATTTCTAGGACGCCACGAGGTCTGCAATGCTCTGCTTGCACGGGCTCCACGGGCGGGCATGTTGCCCTCTCTAATGTGTAGGTTTCCAAACCAGGCCCTCTCCCCTCACTGTGGCCTAAGGCTGGATTCTCCCATCAGACCCTTGCCTGAAAAGTTCTGGCTTTGTGTGAATTTTGCAATCTGCTCCAGAGGGGAGAAGAGATGGGGAGGGGGCATGAGCCACATGCTGAGCATGCCCAGCCACACTGCTGTGTACAGCAACCAAATGCTGCAATAAACCTGCAGAGGACAAAGCAGGAACTGGGGGGAATGGAACAAATGCCTTCTACGAATAAATCACAGAAATCATGTTTGACATTAATTTTCTACCCTCTACATACTGGGTCTTTGGAAAACAGTGATTCATATACAGCCTATGGTCCTGTGTGAGCACATGTGTTCATAAATACAGATAGACACATACTGATGACTAGACAGATGCTCCTTTTCCAGCCTAAATATCTACAATTTGAGTAAAACTGGAAAAAAAAAAAAACAAACCCAGAAAAATAAACAATGCTCAGCATTTCAATTAAAGTATATTCTCGCAAGCTTGGTATGTTTAATTAGGTAACAAAGATTGTGTATTTTCTTGGCTGATCCCTGCAGTATTTTAAATAGTTAAACCCATAACAAACTAAAACTAGAATGAAAAATAATAAAACATAATGGGTTCCTGCAGATCTGGAAATTTATCCCACTCGAGGCAAGACCTTTTGATTTGCAAATCCACTTCTGAATTATAAGGCCTTCTCCTCACCAGTGGGGGTTTTTATTCCACTCCCACAGGAGTCCATTATGTATTTCTTCTGTCTATAAAACCATCCAGAAAGAAAAAAAGGGGGAAAAAGTACCATGGTTAGCATGACAAACGTTTCTCTTTTCATGCATGTGTATTCAAAATATGAAAATGCCCAAAGATATAGATAGAATTGCTGCTATAATCACTCTCTCCTCTATGGCATTTTACAGCATATTATTTTACACAGAAACACAGCACATGTATAGGGATACTCAGTCACCTTTGGAGAATAACTTCCTTGAATTATATAAGATCATATAGGTACATGCAGGGAAGCTTTCTGACAATGCGGTGTGACAGTCAAATGTGTGGTGCTGGGCACTAGCAACTGCAAACATATCATCATTTCCCTCATTCTTATTCACTTTCTTTTTTCCTAGCATGACAAGCATCTATGAGAGATCTACATAACTCAAGTGAATTATGCAGCCCCTCTCATTTGTAAAATAAAATGCAGATTTTTACAGTTTGTTATGCTAGTTCTTCTCCCATTTCTTCATAAGTGTATCTGTGAAGGGATCAGTTGATTGCAGGACTAAACAAGCAATGCACAGCAAACAAGAATCTTGGGTTTCTTGCCTTTTTTTTCCTGAGCTCAAAATAATAAGCATTAATTTTACACTTCATTTCTCAAAAAAATAATAGGACGTGCTCTTGTTTAAAACAAGCAGGCCTGCTGGATTCTGTCAGGCTGAAACTATGTCAGGCCAAAAGAGGAACAGAGCGCTTTGTGTAAAAGTATCATGGGGAGATGATAGTATCCTGTAATGTTTTCAGTACCTACTTTTGTCTCCAAAAGCATTTGATCCCTGGCAGACACATACTTATTTCCATACTGGTCTTGAGGGAAGGCAGTAGGAATGAGAGCTGATTATCTGAATCCTGAAGGTGAAACCTGGGTGGTGCCCACTGATGTCAAAGGCAGGCATTTGTATAAATTTGGAGGTACATAATTTACCGCCTGTTAGTGAGGATTAGTGGGTTGCGCAGACCCAGCTGAACCGCGGTGGCAGAGCACGTCGCTCATTGTTCCCAAGTTCAGGTGCGTTTCCAGGATAGTTTTAAATATGTTGATAGGGTGTTTAGTAGCACTTACACTGCCATCCTGCCCATTTTAGAGTGGGAATATGCTTCTCCATAAAGCTATTTCTGCTGCAGCAATGTGCATTTAATACATATTACAATGAGTCTCTAAGCCTCTAAGAGAACCGACACCAGCAGCCTCCTGGCGAGGATGCAGTATAATTAATAATGCTGTATTAAACCCATTTACTGTATCAGCTGCATTTCTAATTATAACTATATTAATGGCAATGTAAAAGTACCCATTAATGCTGTCATGTACCGACACGTTATACCAACAACAAGTAGAAGATCTGAACACCAAAAATCAAGATGGCATTGTCTTTACCATTAGTTAAAACTTCTCTCCTCAACTTGATTTAATAAAAAAAAAAAAATTCCCTTATGGAATAACTGCAATAGTCCTAATTTGAGAGATCATGTAAAACAATCTGATGCTTGTTGCTGACAACAACACGTACATCCCACACTGTAGCATTCCAGACTTATGTATTTATACTCTACTGCAGCAAATTAAGCCAATAAAGGGGAATTTCTTCCCTGTACTCAGATGTTCACATCCATGAGTTAACCGTGCTTTTAATGAACTTTGAAATACTGTAATTCAGTGTAACAAAGCATTAATATACTGTGTTCACAGAGAACCTTCTCCTGTCCATTAGATCATAAATTTGGTAGAATTAAATGGGCCGTGTGCTCTAATTATGGTAGAAATAAATAGAAATTGGAATGAACACAGGGAAATAAAATGAAAACTGCATGGAACTATTCTGTTTATGCAATTCATTTCCCAGTAAATAAGAAATCAAAGGGAAAAATTTATAATGTAGGAAAAGAAGGAGCTTCCCCAGCAATTTTTTCCATGTGGCTGTGAGGAGCAAGGGGCTGGAACCAGGGTAGGATGGCAATGATGGACACCTCCCTTAAACACAAAGCCTCCAGAGAATCACTTTGACCCCTCATCTGCTTGGCACTACTCCACCACTGGTTTTCACTACAAACAATCCAAGGATGGAAGTAAAACCAAGGTCTGAGAACATGCTGCAACAACTCCAAGGGGACGGCAAATTTGTAGATGCTCACATTGGATGAAGACAATGTCTGCCATACAGTCAACATTTCCTCCTCGCCATTGCTGCCTAAACCCATGACCTGCTACACAAACCATTTGGACCACATTGCTCCACTGCATTTTTGTAATTAATCCCGGAGGACACAGCTGACCCCCTCCCTTGCCAGCGGGGCAGCAGCGGGGCGAGGAGATGCCGTGCTCTGGCCCGGCGCGGGCCAGCGGCACCGAGGCGCTCTGCAGCACAGCCACCCCAGCTATTAGGCAGTGAAAGGCAGCGGATTGATGGCCTGGCAACAGAAATGTCACCTGGGGAGCTGGGTGCCGTCCTCCCAGGGATGCTGGAGGTCAGTTACTATGGCAACACCGAATGAGCTCAACCTTGTAACTGACCCTTATCTTTTTTTGATCTGTGGCCCCCTTGGGACCTTGGCTGGAAATCAACTGGAAAATAATCTGGTCACATATCAGAAAGAAAACTATTTATACTTATTTATTTATCCAGGTACAGCTCATATCTCCCTTTGACGACTCTGGCAGACTAAAG